TCGAAGAGCCCTCAGGAAGAACCAGCCCTAGGGACGCCTTGCCTTTGGACTTCTAGCCCCTAGAACTGGGAAAGAAGGAAGTTCTGTTATTCTACCCATACATACAGTATTACAGTCGGTAGACTCTGCCAAGCCCACTAAGACCACAAATGTGTAAAATATCAGGAAAGAGAAGACCTTAATGTTCATTTCAGTCCAGTCTCTCATCCTATGCTCGAAATTCCCTATCAGCATTCTCATGAGGAGTGTTTCAGCTGGTGCCTGAACCCCTCCCGTGGCCAGGAACTCTACCTGTCCTGACAATCCAGTAGCTCTCGCTAGTAAAACAGCTCTTCCATATATTGGGCCGAAATCTGCTTCCCTGTAGATGCCCCCATTTGTGGAAACCACCTCCCTGGGAACTTTTGCCAAATAAAGGTCCAATCCCTTAGCATTTGACAGCCCTTCAAATACTTGAATTCAGTGAGAGTATGAACAAATGCAATTTCTTTTGAGTGGAATGAACTTTTGCCTTCTTTACTTAAAGAGTAACCCATTAAAATCAAGTTCAGTATTACTTCCTGATAGCGTAGGTTACGCTGTGGAAAAAAACACTCCCAAAATCTGTGCTTCAAAAACCAAAGGATTATTTCCCACACTGCATGTCCGTCGTGAGTCAGCAGGGACCCAGCCTGACTGAGCAGCCACCACCTTGAACACTGCCCGTCACCCTGGGAGGCAGAAAGCTCCAGAAGGTTTCCCGTCAGCGATCGAATGCACCAGCCTGGAAAGGACACGCACCATTTCCTCTCACAGTTCATTGCCACGGAAGTAGGGACAGGGCCTCGCCTCACCAAGAGCAGGCGGGGAAATGTAGTCCTACCACGTGCCTGCAAAGCCAGCCGGAAAGACCTGGCGGCAGCACTCACGGTCACCTCGCTTAGGCTGCGTGGCGCTGCGTGGCGCTGCGTGGCGCTCCCTGACGCCCTGGGCGCACTTGTATCCCCTCCCGCCCTCTGGAGGCGTTTTGTGTATTAGGTAATTATCTCGTTGCACTGTCCTTACATTTACTCCTGTTTTCATCTCCCCCACGAGACAGAGTTCCTCGGGGACAGCGGGCTCATGATAAACGTTCACCACGTGGATGCATTTGAGAGCAGTGACCACATATGCAAAGTAGCATCCAGAGAACTTGCAGGGGCTTACAAGGCCGCTCGAGACCTGGCCCCACCACCTCTCCGACCCCGTCCCCCGTCCCCCCTCCCCCCACCCGGCCCCCTCTTTCTCCCATGGCCAGCCACGCCGTCTGTCCAAGTCACCCGCCCGCTCCTCCCTGGAGCCCTGCGCTCCGTGCTCCCGGGGCTGGGCTGAGCTTCCTCCCGTCTGCTTGGCTTGCTGCCGCCCCACTCTGACACCGTCTCCACTCAGCGCCACCTCCTCAGAGAAGCCTGTCCTGACCATGCCTATGAGACGGCAACGTGCCCCCCGCCCTGCTCACGCCCCTGCTCCCTTCCTTTCTTTTCTTTGTCTCCGCTGTGGTCACCACTTCTTTACACAAACACACACTAGCGCATGCTACCTGATCACATATTAAATGCCATGTGATTTGCGTTATATAATAATTATTTGTGGTATATATAATTACTTTTTTCCAGTATTTATTTATTGTCTGTCCCCCACCTGCCCACACTTGAATGACATTTCTATGAATGAAAGGACCAGTATATAGTAGGTACTTGATATTTGCCAAATGAATGATTAGAAAATGAACAAATGTACTCTCTGAGTCTTCACATCTTTGGACCCAAATGCTGAGTTCCTTTCTCTCGTAGGGCGAGAATTTTGAGTCCTTCCAACCTCCCAGCCACCTAGAAGTGACCAATGCCCAGTGCAGTAGAGAGCAGAGCAATTCCTTGTGTGTCCTTTATTCTATATTTCATTGATAAATCCTATGTTTAAGTAAATTTGGAAGTTACAAAAAATCGCACTGTGGATCAACTAATAGTAAGTTTAGTTATTGACTAAAATCTAGAGTCCTTTGCACACACAAAGCTGCACCTTTCCCTCTCTCTGTAATCTTTTTTTTTCTTTTTATTTTTGAGACAGAGTCTCACTCTGTTGCCCGGGCTAGAGTGCCGTGGCATCAGCCTAGCTCACAGCAACCTCAAACTCCTGGGCTCAGCAATCCTCCTGCCTCAGGCTCCTGAGTAGCTGGGACTACAGGCATGCACCACCATGCCTGGCTAATTTTTTCTGTATATTTTTAGTTGACCAATTAATTTCTTTCTATTTTTAGTAGAGATGGGGTCTCACTCTTGTTCAGGCTGGTTTCAAACTCCTGACCTTGAGGGATCCTCCCGCCTCAGCCTCCCAGAGTGTTAGGATTACAGGCCTGAGCCACGGCGCCCAGTCGCTCTCTCTGTAATTTTGTAGTTGTTGCTTTTGAGCCTAAGTGTGGTACTTCACATTTTCCCCTCTTCATTTTCTTGTCACTTGTCTTCCTTTTCATCTATAATGTTGTTTATTCTTTCACTTACTTATTAAGTGTGTACTATGTGCAAAAAAGCTGCATTAAGTGCTATGAGGGTTTAGGTAATAATTTTACAATTCCCAGAAGAAAAATGTTATTCAGCAATGTCAATATGGATCAGATGAATAAACTTCAGCTCAGTAAGAGAGACAGCTAAGGGCTCTTCTGTACGTAAATGGCTAATGGCAGAGCCATCCTGGGAGACTTTCAGTGGTGGCAGGGCTCCAGCAACACCTAAGGGTGTGACTCCTGGAGCAGCTGAAGACGGGAAGGCAAGTAGAGTGGTGGCTGAGAGGGGTGGGAAGAACTTACGGGTAGGAGGGCAATTTAATCCAGACATGTCATTCCACTTATCCCTGAGGCTGATTCATCTCATCTGGAAGTGACCAACATGTCACCATCTCCCATATCACTGCAAGGACGCACCCATCTTTGGACAGGGTGTGCTAAGGATCGGGCTTTCTTGCTGTCCACTGTCGGACAAGACACTTCACATGTTCCAATGATTTCAGGGCAGTCCTTGAACAGGGCAAGAACCAAAACAATTATTCTACTTGTCTGCAAACCATATTTATTTATTTTAGTTAGTATGAAGCATTAGGTAAGAATACTACAGATAATAGCTCCATTGTCAGTCCAACCCTATACTTGTGGCACCATTGTTATCTCCACTTTGCCGATGAGGAATCTGAGGCCTAAGGTGGTTAAGGGATCTTCCTATAGCTAGAAAGCAAAGCAGCTGAGTTTGAACCCGGACGTTCCAGCTCCAGAGTCTGTAGTCTCAATAGCTCTGCTCTGCCCTACTTCCTCACTATATTGAAAACAAGGACAGATTACAGTCCAATATATGATATAAGGGCTGAATAGTAAGACAAGATTTTATAGTAGTCACTAATACAGGTGATTCCTAATAAAATCAACCCAGAACATTGCCCAGAACTGAAATTAAAGAGACCAATATCTTACGTGAGATAATGGGGAGGGATTCAGTGAGTTGGAGAATGATTCAACCTTTCCCCGCCAAACGGTTATGCACGAATTTATCTTTCCATCCTTCCGTGTGTCCCCTCATGCATTCACGCAACAACTACGCACTGGGCACTCGCGCGTCCTGGAGAGACCGTTACACGCTGCGGGTAAGACGCGGTCTGACCGGCGTGGACTTAGCAGGCAAAGGACATGGTGGTCTGGCGTGGCAGTTGCTGCAGCACGGAGGGGGCCTGGAAGGGTGCAGCATGAATCCAGCCTGTGTTGGGGGCATAGCCGAGGGAAAAGATGAGAGAAGAATGCTCTTGCAGGAAGCAACTCTGAATCTGGCCCTAGCAAAATTCTCTAATCTTCGTATTTCCGGGAAGATCATAGAATTTACACAATTTCCATTGGAGACCAGAGAAAAGGAAATGCTCTTTTCAAGAAAGACCGTGGGGTACAGCAGTTAAGAACACAGCTTTTGGAGTCCGTGGGGCCAGCATTCAAATTGTAACTTCCTCCATTACGGGAAGGGCTAAGCACCACGCCCCAGCACAGGTTGTCCTGAGGGTCACAAAAGCTCGTGCGGAGCGCAATCCGCACGCTCAGTCAGTGCTAGCCGGCACTTGCTGCCTTCTTCTCAGACTCACAGCCACTCCCACGTGGGCCCTTAGTCCGTAATCTTCCCAGTAGCTCTAATGTTACTTTCAGAACCAAAGTTTGTAAATATCTTTTCTCTTTTACATAGAGAATACAAAGGGAACATAATTTCTGAAAAACTTATTTGCATTACTGTGAATTTATTGTACTCTGTGGTTCTTGGTGACTAGGTAACCAGCAGAGGAGCTAATTCATTATTTTAGCAATTTAAACAGGAGCCCAGAAGAAAGGCTCCCTGTCGTTGCAGAGCACCGGGACTGTACTAATGAGAAGATTAAAAGAAAGTTCAGCTCACACAGTCCCACATAATCACAAATGTACCCAAGGATTATTAACAATCACAATTACCTGGAACTATATTATTTGCCTGGTTGGTTATTCTAAAGTCAACTTGTGCTGAATAGATGAGCTTAGCGGAGTTGTTGAGGAAGCTATTTTGAAGTGGCTGGTGGAGCCCTCCACAATAGATATCTGGGGAAATGGGAGTATACACCCAAGGCTCCATGGGCCCCTTCGTCTGATTTCTCAGAGGGAACTAAGGAAGCTCTGAGTCCTCCTCCGATGAATAACCTGCCTACACAGCCTCCAAGGACCCGCATGCCTGTAGGAACCACTTACCCAGCACAAGTGGGCCTGACCCGCGTATTGTAGAAAAGCCTTTTGGGAAAACAAAACAGCCTTCAGCAGCAGTGTCCATTTTCAGGGACAAAGTCCTGGACCTTTATGACGTTGGCAGCCACCGTCCCTTCACGATGCCCCTTGAACATCTTTGGCTGCCCATTCCTTAGCTGTTAGGATTGTGCAGAGCCATGGTGCCAAGGTGCAGGTCTCAGAGGTTGTCTCATTCGTGGCTTTCTTGCAGATTCCTGCAACCCATGCTGTGTGCTGCAGGCCGGTCTTAAACCCAGAGCTCTGGCTGAGAGGATGGGGGCAGATGGGGAAACGGTGGTCCTGAAGAACATGCTCATTGGTGTCAACCTGATCCTTCTGGGCTCCATGCTCAAGCCCTCGGAGTGCCAGCTGGAAGTCACCACAGAAAGGGTCCAGAGACAAGCAGTGGAGGAGGAAGGAGGTGTTGCCAACTACAACGCCACCAGCAAAGAGCAGCCCATGGTCTTCAACCACGTGTACAACATTAACGTGCCCCTGGACAGCCTCTGCTCCTCGGGGCTGGAGGCCTCTGCCGAGCAGGAGGTGAGTGCCGAAGACGAGGCTCTGGCAGAGTACACGGGCCAGACCTCAGACCACGAGAGCCAGGTCACCTTCACCCACAGGATCAACCTCCCCAAAAAGGCCTGCCCGTGCGCCGGCTCGGCCCAGATGCTGCAGGAGCTGCTGAGCCGGGTGGAGATGCTGGAGAGGGAGGTGTCGGCGCTGCGTGACCAGCGCAACACCAACTGCTGCCAGGACGGCGCCGCCACAGGTAGGGGCTGGGGACCCTGCAGCGCGGTCTCAGAGGGGACGGGGAGGGCTGAGAAGAAAGGGAGAGCAAGCGGGAGGGAGCAATGCACTCCGCGTGAAATCCAGCTTCCCTTCACACCGTCAAAAAACAGTGCCCCGGTCTGTAGCTGCTGGTTAATGCGTCTGTAAGACATAAACGCAGCCCTCCCGGGGATCCAGTTCAGGGATTCTCTGCACTGCGTGGCTGGTTTGCAATACATTAACCTGATTTTGGGGGGATGAGTCAGGTAATGGCACATTGGTTCAGCACAGCGACTTCGATGGCGAGCAGGGAATTTGATGTCTGTCTTCATTCATCTTTGGTGCTCGCAGGCGGCTGAGGTGATATCTATCCATGTTAACCTGAGGGACTGGAGAGCGCAGGCGCGCTGCTCACTCAGCCGCAGCCTTCCTCCCATCTGCGGGAATGATAGTCCTTAGGGTCCCAGAGGACCTGCCCCGACTTCTCCAGCAAGACGGGAGTTTTTATCCCCTTTCCCCTCCACGAGCACACAGACACGCACGCGCACAGACACTCTCTCACACACAACGCACACAGAGCTCGTTCCATCTTCCAAAAGGCTGAATGTCCTGGGGATTTACCGCTAGCCTTGCCGCTCTCCAACTAGTAACTTTACCAGCTTACCTTCCCCTCTCTGAGAGACGGCGTAAGCCCCCAGAGCCAGACTCCCCAAGTGTGAGTCCTGGCTCTGTTCCTTCCTAGCGCATGGTCTTCCTAGCAAGCTTCGCAGCCCGGGCCTTCTCTTCCTCGTCTACAAAATGGCGCTAGACCAGCGCAGCAAGGAGTTGGTTGTTAAATACATACGCACCAGTTCTGGATGAGAGCCTGGCTCCCAGCAAACCCCTAGTGAGCAGGAATTGTGTCCGCCCTCTTTTGTGGCCAGTTTCCTCTCCCAAAAGCTACCTTAGACCCAGGCGATTCAGTTTGGTAATGAGAAGAGGCCTTTGTCTTATCAACTTGGGCTTGAGCACTCACCTCTTTAGGGCCCGTGACCTCAAGGCTTTCACGGGATGAAGCAGGAGGGGCAGGGGTACAAGGTTAGCAGAGCCCAGAAGGCCTGAGCTCCAGGGGGGTGCCAGAAACCTTCACCCCGACACACAGCAAGGCTAGGTGCAGTCTTTGAGCAGTGAAGTATCTCATGGGTTTTCCCACCTCCTCTCCCCATAACCAACACTGTAAATAACAGTCTGAAGACTAGAAGAGCAAGTCCAGTGGTTCAGTCCCCTGTCTTTGGTGAGCACTGTCAGGTCAGTTCGTCTTTCCAATGGGTCTACAGAATGGCAGGAAATCCTAGGTTTCCATGGACATGGACTCGGCTGCTCGGGAAGCCAGGTGGCTTCCACAAGTGGGTTTTCCCACCAGGATCCCTCACAGATGTGGAAAAAGTCTACAAGGAAGAGCTATGCTAAGCAATGTCAATGTAGTATATTTGCAGGTCATGGGGGCCGTGGGAAGTGGTAGAATTAAACAAGGATGTAACTTAATGGACTCTACATACTTGAGTCAGTGCAGAGAACGATGCTGAGCAGGTACTCACTTTGTGTTTGCTCACTAAGTTTACTGGGTTCATGCGAGACAGATAAATTAACCACTGCAGTTTCACGGCAGTAAGGGCTAGGACAGAGTGATGCATAGAATCCTGAGGTCCTAGGGGAGACTGAGGTTCTCGGAAGCCTTTGAAATAGCCCTGGCACTGGGTTTGATGAATGAGCGGAGCCGGTTAAGTGGCAGGGAGGGAGGGAGCAGGACAGGTTTGTGCCACGGACGAACTTCCTCTGAATAGCAGCTCAGTGCTCAGCCTACATCCTCCCAGGCACCTCCCGGTCCCCACAGCCAGCATCTGGGCAGCTTGGTCAGAGGGCTGTCCTCAGTCTGTTGGAACTTTCTCGTCTTGCCCAAAGAGAGAATGAGGGGCCTGGAAACTCACACACCCCCAAGGACCACCCTTAACCCATGATGAGATGTGACCTGCAGGACTGAAGCCCAGTCGCTGTCCCTGGCGCTTTGCTGACAGTGCCCCCGGCTTGGGAGTTCCCCTCCTGACCCCCCTCTTCCCTAGGAGTTTCTCCTGGGGACACCTCCCAATAAATCACTCTTGCAAGAATCTTCATCTAAGGTCTACTTCTGGGGAACCCAACCTCAGATACCCTGAAGGTGAGCTCCTGGAGGCAAGGGGCCAGAGCCCCCAGCACGGTGCTAGGCACAGGTAGCCCACATTAGGTGAAAGTGCTTGTTCAATTGGATGGGTACCAAACCATGCTGAGCTTGACGCTCCGCAACACGAATGTGCTCGGAGGATGAGTAGGGGCGTCTGCCCACTCCTCCCAGCACACTGACAGGAGAGGCCACTGCTGCCCTTTGACCTTCTCCTTGGCCATTCCAGGGCAACTGGACTACATCCCTCACTGCAGCGGCCACGGCAACTTCAGCCTGGAGTCCTGTGGCTGCATCTGCAACGAAGGCTGGTTTGGCAAGAACTGCTCAGAGCCCTACTGCCCGCTGGGTTGCTCCAGCCGGGGGGTGTGTGTGGACGGCCAGTGCATCTGCGACAGCGAGTACAGCGGCGACGACTGCTCCGAACTCCGGTGCCCAACAGACTGCAGCTCCCGGGGGCTCTGCGTGGACGGGGAGTGCGTCTGCGAGGAGCCCTACACCGGCGAGGACTGCGGGGAGCTGAGGTGCCCCGGGGACTGCTCGGGGAAGGGCACATGCGCCAATGGGACCTGTGTGTGCCAGGAGGGCTACGCCGGCGAGGACTGCGGCCAGCAGCGGTGTCTGAACGCCTGCAGTGGGCGAGGACACTGCCAGGAGGGGCTCTGCGTCTGCGAGGAGGGCTACCGGGGCCCCGACTGCTCGGCAGGTAGGAAGGGCGGCTCTGCGGGTGTTCGGCAAGGGTGGTCCGGCACGCCAGCTGGACGCCTCCAGGCAGGTGGGGAAGAGGACGAAAGGGAAGGTGAATTTTAAGCAAAATAATTCCCAATCGAGTGGTACTCGTTAGCTTTCCAAGAGAGCTGATTTCTTGAGTCAATAATAATTGATGAGGCAGATTACCAGGGAGAAGGAGCAGAAATCAGAAAAGGTCAAGTTCAGGCTGAGAGCTAGGTCATTACCCCCAAGACTGGAACAAAAGCAATGCTAACAACAGTGACAACACGCCAATGTCCTTGAAGTGGGGAGGGCACAGGCTGAGTCACGGCACCCCCTTAGGCAAGGCCCCTCGCTAACTCAGAGGGATTCCAAGAGTTCCACCTGCTCAAAAATATCTCCCTCAACTGTTGCCATCTTCCAGGGAAAACTTTGACAATGCTATTGCAAGGGATGGTGGTTAGGCTGTGGGGCTTTCTGATTACCTTGGACCTTACCGGTTGTAAGGCATTATTAATTTATGAAATGATCTAGTGTGTCCATGTGGAGAAAAATGTAGGCCAGGAATTAAGTAAACAGGAAGAAAGTACTAAAGACATTGAGAAACAACCAACATTCTAACAGTTAGTCCAGCATATTAAAAGGCTATGACTCACTTTGTTCCAGATAACCATACAACAAATTGGAACCAACCCCATATGTAGTGGAAACTGAGAGAAAGGCGATGGATGTCCTAAAATGGAGATCTAAATCCAAGAGTGAGAAAAATATCAATATCTCATTGGGGTTGATTTTTTTTTTTTTTACCTAAATCAGATTTTTGTCATTATTTCATTATTGCTCGTCCTCTTCTGACTAAATCGGTGACGATTGCTCATGGGTTTGTTTGTGGGTTGAGCGGTACAGATTAAGTAATTGATCCTTTCCATTTGGCATTCAGAGTGCCCACTGGGAAGATTTAGAGTAAACAATAACGACAACCAAACATTTTCAAGCCTTCTAATTGAGCAGCTCTGAGAGTTTCCCATCAAGCCTCTGACCTCCGTGCAAGGGAGAAACCCTGTGAAGCCGGCTCCCAGCCTCGGCCCTCGGCCTCACCAGTGGTCCCCACCTGGGCAGCAGATGAGCTTCCTGCACCTGTGACTTCAACTTAAATGTGTTTGAAAGATCAATGGCAATAATGGAAAGAAAGACAGCAGTAATGTGCGGCTCAGGAAAAAAAATATTTTGATAATTTTTTCCCATATTCAATTATTTCATATAGCCTCCCTATTTTGTTTACTGAATTGAAATATCTTTCTAAAAATACTGATAGTCACTATACCAATTGTCCCTAGATGAAATTCAAGCTAAAGCCAAGCCTCGTCGTTTCTGAATCCGAAGTCGCCAGGCAGGTTGTGGGAAGCAGGCTGACTGGCACATGGCTCTAGTCCCCACCTAGAGGATGAGGCTCTAAGAGGCCCCGGAAGAAGCTAAGGGTCCTTCTGGGCCATTGTGTTAATGCTATTCTATCGCTCATGTGCTTCTTAGTAGACTCCATCTTTGTTGGCCTAGACATACCTGTCTTGTTCTTGACCCTGCTTTTCTACAAGGATGGGTCTATTTGCAAATAAAATCTTGATCTGATCCAGGGTCCAAACTGAAATGGAGACAAACCCTTCTGGTTACCTCAGGGAAGACTCAGCAGCTGCCAGCACAGCTACAATTGGATTGAGTCCAAGCCATGAGCACGTGTCACTTGAGGAAAACTTCTGTAGGCCCAGATAAATTATCTTACAGATTCCCAAGGCGTGTGAAGAAAGGACAGTTGCATAATCTCCATCTGTTTCTATAGCAACCCTGGAGGCACCACTCACTGCGGGAGGCCTGTTCTTAAGGCCTGCCTTTTAAACCAAGTGCCACAGGTCTCTCCCAGAGAAGTATCTAGGTCATTATCTAAAGTGCTACTTTGCTTGCTTTTTGTGAAAAGGCTGCAGGAGAAGGGGCTATTTATCCACTGTTTGACATTTCTGGACAGGTGCACGCATTGCTGCACAACTGCTTCCGTTGCCTACAGGAGTGAGGAGAGAGAGAAGGGTAGGAAGGCGAAAATACGGAGAGCCACAAAGTACACTTCCTTATAGGTCACTCTCCTCTCTTTGGCAAGGGCGGAGAAAGCAGCTGCCCATTGTGTGGATGGCATTGAGGTCCCCCAGGTCTCCAGTGCCCGAATGTGATTGAAGAGTGTTGCCAGGGCCGCTACACTTGCCTCCTGGCCTTGATCTGTGCTCACCATGTGCCAGGGGACAAAATCTCAAGCTGTCTGGCCTCGTTTTCTGCCCATCTACAGATAATAGAACAAAAAATTCATGAATATGAGCACTTGAAACAGGCCTTAGAAAGAAGCTACTCCAGGCTTCTTCTCATTTTACAGATTTAAAAAGCAGCAGTCCAGAGAGACAGAGATTTTCCTAGAGCCAGGCACCTAATTAATGGCAGAGTAAGAATGAGAACCCTGGTCTCCTACCAACTTCTAGCACTCTTTAATCCCCTCTGGGATGCTAAGTAGAACAGAACTGAAAAATAAAAATGTCAAAGCCACATACACAAACAAGTGGCCCTTTTGATATGAAAGCTGAGTCCTGTCAAATGGTAAAGAACGTTTGGGAGGTGAGGGGGAGAAGCACATCGACCATTTGCCCACACCTGCCCCGGAGATGGTGGTTCGTGGGGGACTGGCCAGGGAGCTGCCAGAACCCCTGTGGGTCGGCAGGATAAAAGAAACATCAGAGCAGGCTCTTGAAACAATCCAGAAAGCTGTTCCCTGGACTTCAGTCAGACCTGTGCAGATTCATCACTGTCAGCCTCTGCCTCTGTCAGGGCAGCCGCCAGCCCAACCTTTGGCACCTGGAACCATTTGCTCTTCGGAGCAAGACACATCACAGAACCAATTCCAACTGCTCTCACCACATAAGTGCAAAATTTAAGCAAGATCTTAAAAGAAAAAAACATGGCATCTTTGCAGATAAGCAATCCCAATGTTTCAAGCCATGGTTTTTTCCCTTTTCAACAGCCTGCTTCCTCAACTTTCGAAGTTGTAACACCCCAAAAAGTAAAACTTATTCTCAGTCAAGAATACTTTGCACCCACCATAACCTCATTCAGTCAAGGCATAAGGCTCTTTTATAGTTTGCTCTGTAGTTCAATATCGTTTCAGTTTGTAAGGATCACTGACACTCAATGTGTACAGCTACTGCTAAGTTGTAGGGCCTGTGTGGAGGTCTCCTCTACTGAGCTCACAAGACTACTTCCACCTTGATGACACTAGCTGCTGCTCTCTCAGTCAGAAGTGGAGGCAATGTTTGCCACCAGGCTCATGTTTCAACTTACGTTGCCAAAATAGTAAATTCTTTTGCACCTATTTTTTTTTGCTTTAAAATCCCAAAATGCTCTTCTTATATCACCCTCCCTTGTCATTATTAGTTTTATTTCTGGAAGAAGGAACCAAGAGGAATACTCTGACTTATTACAAATGCCATAAGGGTTGGTGGTGACTTGAAATTTGGAATGGCCATTTCTGTCATTATGACAGGAGAAGTCCTGCATAGGACACTTGGGATCAGTGTGTTGAATCACAAGAGACAGGCACTAGAGAACCCTTTTTTAAAAAATAGTTTTCTCATGTCTAGGAAAAGTACCAGTCTGGAGATCATGTCCTATAAGACCATCCAAATTATTCCTAATATAGTTTACTTTGGGGCACTGCATATAAATGAAAGAAGCATCTGGCACGAAATAAAACCTGCTCTACAGATTGTCGAGGAAGGAACTCTACACCTAGAAGATCGGGTTTGAGACTCGGTTCCACTATGACACAGCTCCATGTGACTTAGGGCACATCCCTTAACCTGGGATATGCCGAATCCCTCAGTTTTCTCATGTGTAAGTTTAGGATAATTATATCAACCCAAACTGCTTCATAGGGATGCTATTAGAGGACTTTTTAATGTTCTAGTTAGATGGTATGTCTGAACATGTTTTATAGACTGTGAAATGCTACACAAATGTAAAGTGGTATTGTAAATTGGCCGAGAGATTCTACAGTCATTCTGCCGGGGTTCAAATCTTAGCTTTTATGTTTGCTGACCATGTGACCCAATTTCCTCATCTATAAAATAGGATTAATAATGATACCTATCCCATAGCGTCAATGAGAGGGTGAAATAAGATCATCCGTGTTAAAGTGGTTGGCATTCTACTAGTGTATGACGAATGATCGGCATAGTCATGCACACCCTGACAGGTTCTGCGTATCAGCAATTCTTTCCTTGCTCCAGGAGTCATTCTGTGCCCATCATACAGGCTGTCATGAAGGTCTCAGTGCTGTTCACAGCTCTAATAATGTTAAGATTATAAATGATACAAGTTTATAAAACATCATTTGAAAGTTTAATTCCTTAAATTTCATTTGCATTTCTTTAGTTTTATAAATTTTTAAAAATAAATTTTTAATTTTTTGTTTTGGTCAACACTTGCCATCTTCAATCAGAGAAAGCTTCACTTTCTAGACTCTTTTATTAAATGAAAGGTTTGGGGAAAAAGCAATGAAAGCAAAAATGTCCGGCATTGCAAATATATACTGCTAATTTCTATCCCATGAGCCTGAGGCTGGACTCAGCCGAATGGACTTCTCCTATCTGCTTTTGTTGAGGGTTTACGGGAGGACCCGGGAGCACAAGAGGCAGGCCCTCTCCACACGCGTGGTCTGTGAAAGCCCTTGGCCTAGGCCTGACAGGCTTGTAAAGGTGAAAGGGTGAGATTACCCAGAGGAGAAACTCAGAACCAAGGACAACTTTTAAACTAATCAAAGCCCTACTACATATAAATGTATAAGTTAATTATGATTCTTTAAATATTGTCCTGATCTTTGATTCAACCTAGGGCAGGTCCAATTATAGCCACACTGGAGTTAGCTTCTAATTAGTCTTAAAAGTTCAATCATTCAATGCCCATACTACTTACTGGTGAATCTTCATTTCCCAAGGCAACCATACACCAACGGCTATTTCAATTTGTTTTAGCCTTTGGTGACCCTTTGAGTAGCATTTGAGAAGTACAATAAGAGAGAAAAGCAAAGTCCTCAAGAATGTTTCTTTATTATCATCTCCAAGATCAAGGTTAATAAAAATTACTTTAACAGAAGCTATATTTCTTTCAAAACTTAAATAGACTCCTTTAAAAGGGAAATGCTGTAAGAAAGGCCACTGAATGTTTTCATCTGGCCAGTGGTTTGCTATTAAATATCTAACAACTGGCTCTCTGAAAAAATAAAAAATTAAAAGCCCTGATTTGTAGCATTTGCCTATTTTCATGGTGTAAATACTCTCTCTGTGGCCAGTTTCAAACTCCCACCATGGCATCACTAAACACAGAGCTGGGCACACATGTGCAGCAGCACAGTTACATAGTATTCCCGCCAGAAAGATACAACACTGTGAATTAATTTGAGGGCATAGATAATAGAAATATTTTGAGATTGATAAGTCTTGGGTATTTATTACCTTTGTTTTTAATTAATTTGCTTAATTACAAGTTTATAAAATTGAATTTTTAATAATAGCTGTATTTAACAATGGCTTTGCAAATTTCCTGAACATTTGACAAGCAGCTTTCACAAGCCAGTAGGAGCTGGCTCCAGCCCCCCACTAGCTCATGGCCTTATGGAGATCAGGACGCTAAGCACAGAAAAGTCAGCACCCTGCCCACAAAGGGAGTTACGAATCACTCAAAGCCGTTGAGCCCAGCGGAAGTGTATAGACGTGGCGTGGGGGTGAGGTGAAAGTTGATCCAGCATGGGGAAGGCAATCCTCTGAGCTCATGCTGTCTGTGTATTGCCTCCCGGTAGTTGCCCCTCCAGAGGACTTGCGAGTGGCTGGTATCAGCGACAGGTCCATTGAGCTGGAATGGGACGGGCCGATGGCAGTGACGGAATATGTGATCTCTTACCAGCCGATGGCCCTGGGGGGCCTCCAGCTCCAGCAGCGGGTGCCTGGAGATTGGAGTGGTGTCACCATCACGGAGCTGGAGCCAGGTCTCACCTACAACATCAGCGTCTACGCTGTCATTAGCAACATCCTCAGCCTTCCCATCACTGCCAAGGTGGCCACCCGTACGTACCATTCCCCCATCCTGCTTCATTTTTCTTTTCTCCTACATGAGATCATGGACATTCATGATGGTAGTGTCTTTTCTTAATTCTTCAGGGATGCCTGAAATGGTCATCGGGCCTGAGGGGAAGGGCTGCAGACATGACCCCCTTAGAGAGGGCACAACATTAAAAAGGCACTTCCGATTAAGAATTTCCCAATTCAGGCACCTTTCATAAATTATAGAACCAAAAGGACAAAAATTAATTTAATTATTGAGCACTGTCTTGTTATAAGCTAGACTGTGGCTTAGAAGTCAAGTAACATATAAGACTTATACAGATTTTGAATCTGGTTGAGGATTTAAAACCAGAAAATATGAAATAGGATACATCCTAATAAGCAAGTGCTAAATGGTATGTTACAGATGGTAAGTGTATAGCAGAGTGGGGGAAAACCTTATTTCAAACCACAGCTAACAACATCCTCTTCTGATAGAGAAGTGACGTAATTTCTTCATGGTCTTTTGTTAGCAAAATATCCTGATAGTTCATTTTAGTTATAAAAGTTGAAGCTCTAGAACATAGTTTAGAAAGATTCAATGGGAGGAAAAAGAGAGACAGAGAACAAGCTTAACTCCTCTCCATAAGAGATGGATAATTTTTCTTTATTTACAACAGGGGAAACGTCTATAGATGTGCATCTATATTTTGTATATGTTTAAGCATAGGAAAATATGAAAGATCACATACCAGCTGTTAATGCTGACCACATCAAAGAGTGGAATAAGAAGGAGATAGGAAAGTATTTTTTTCTTTATTCACCTCTGAATTCTTAAATTGTTACAATAAGCCTGTATACTTTAGAATTTCAAAAGCCACATGGGGGGATTTAGGTGAGAGACATGTTCATCACCCAAGTTTACTACCAAAACTTGAATGCACACAAATGCCCATGTGCCTCACATGGAAAGTCTTCAGAGATATCAAGGAAAAGGGGGCTATATCTGATTAAATTCTGGGAAAAGAGAAGAGAACATTCAAAGGAGACGAGGTATGAGTGGTACACAGATTTTAGCTATAACAAGACAGTGGACCAAGAAGTGACCATGAGAACACAAGCCTTTGAGAACTCAGAAAGCCCCAAGTCAGTAAATGGGCTTTGTCACCAGGTAAGAGGTAAGAGACTCGAGCCCATTTTATGCAGGTCTCAAATGGCATGATGGTATTTGGTAATAAATGCCAAGAAAGTTTGGAAAAGGAAAAAGTCAAGGTAGGAAGAGTTGGCCTTGAAGGCTCCATGGAAGCTCGAGGACTGAAGGGAGCATCGGAGGCTACAAGGACAGGCAGAGGCGAAGGGATTTAAGAAGCCACCTTGTTCCCTTGCTTTTCAGTTAGCAGAAATCCTGTCGTGATATTGGGCTCCTCCTATGAATGTTGACTCTGTTAATATGCCTGTAATTATCTCTGTCTATGTGGGAACTTTTTTGAAAACAAAATTCCTCTGGTGCCTGAGAACTGGTTTTAAATATCTACGATGACTGTGTAGAAAGACGGGTCACCATCTGCTTTTCCCACCTTGCTCCAGGATGGGTCACCACCCAAATGTCTGGCCCGACTCCCAAGTGTCTCCTCTCTGGTCCACATGCACGTGCAGGGACGAGGTATCCGTCTCCTGTGGTGCTTGTTCATGCCAATTCAGGGCATCCCCTCAGGCAAGCTCCCAGGTGACAAGGACAACATCACATAAACCACCTGACATGACATGATTGTGACACGGGTTCACAATCAGTCCTGCCTTCCAACCAGAGAACGTGAGAACGCTTCCTCACGGGAAGGATGAAAATCTGTCAGTTTTCCAAAGGGAATAGCCCATGAGAGACAAGCTGGAATGGGAGCAGGCTCCCTGGAGAACTGAGAAAAGTCATGCTGCCGTATTTTAGGGCGGTAATTGGAACTCCACTGGGACAAGCACACTTCCACCTCACTACACCCGTGCATGTGTGTGTGTGTGGCTGGGGGCGGTTGGGGAGAGGAAAAGAGGGAGATTAAGAGAGGAAAAGAAAAAATAAGTGAGGCAAAAGTGAGTGAAGAAGAGAAGAGAAAAATAATGAAGGAACAACTGGGGAAAAGAAATAGAAAGTATAACAAGAGCAGAATCCCAGCATCTGCTATTGTCCTTGGTGTATGCCTTTGTTTTGCTTGTGCCCATGAAATGAAAAAATTGAGACCATCCTAGACGTAGTGATTGGAGCTAAACAAAATACGCTGAATGCTCATGAGATGATCAAGAAAAGCAGTCTAGTATTTATTCTGAAATTGGCTTGCTCTGCATCCTTAGCCAACTTCGTGCCTCCCTTTTCTTGTGTAAAAAATGAGAACAGTGATATTAGCCATGATATTGCCTCCCAGGAATCCTGTAAAGCTTCTAAAGATAGTGTTCAGGTCCTCTGAAAAAGGCATTATGTTATATATTAAATGCCAACATTTGCCACATTAGTAAGGGCAGTGTGACTTTGGCATTTTAACATTAACCTAGTATGTAATAAAAAGTGCAAAAATGATTTATATAGAATAGAGATTGCGTTTTGAGTCTACCCATGTATTCCATCAACACTGAGCACCAGGACACAATGGAGTGGGCCACCTGCACCTGGGACTCACTGCGTCTGCAGTAAGATTGGGATTGTCCGCCAGACACCACCACACCCATGGTGTGGAGCGAGTTTACCAAGACAAAGCACCAGGCAATCCTCTCCGTCCTGAGGGATAGCCGTGACATTGTCACCCACATTGCTGTGTTCCAGATCTCCCCACTCCTCAAGGGCTACAATTCAAGACGATCACAGAGACCACCGTGGAGGTGCAGTGGGAGCCCTTCTCATTTCCCTTCGATGGGTGGGAGATCAGCTTCATTCCAAAGGTAATGCTCACCTGTTAGACTGCTAAACAGCCTCATTTGGAGTAAATGTACCTTCAACCTGGAATCAGTGGCAGCAAGGAGGGCACTACCCAATATCTCTCTCCATGTCATAAAGGCACCAAAGAACATGTTGTGGAGGGCTGGGCCATAGAGCATGTCTTTCCCAAACGTGTAGTAAGGACCGGCTAACAAGAGTGACCCTGAGCATGGCACCTTGGCTGTAGGTAACCGAAGGGTGCAGGCAGCAGCCACCAGCTCCAGCTCTCTGCTGAGATAGCTCCAGGGTTTGGTGAGCCACGATTTCAGTGAGCACGAAAACCAGACCCTCCCTTTAGGTTATAAGAAAAGCCAAACTGAGTCAGTCACATAGTCAACCCAAAGTTTCATTCTGTGTAGACAGATGCACTGAAGAAAAAGCCAGCCTACATGGCTTCAATCTCTAAAGGTTAGATGCATGACACAAAAACACCATGGCTTACCTGAATTATTCATGATGGATTCATAACCTATTAATTAAGCAACATTTTCCTTACAGAAATTATATTATCAGTCTGTGAGTTTAAAAGTATCCTAAGATTCCTTTCCACTCTTTAAAGCAGTAATTTATTTTGCTAACCCTAAAACCTACTTTTCCAAATTTCCAGAGGTACTTGACTGACTCCAGTTTTCCAGAATTTGCTGACCCAAGATGTCCTCCCTAACTATATCACTCATTGGGATATAAAGTTCAATCATACTCCTTCCCTCTGTCTTCATCTTTCAACATCAAAGAGCATTTTTTCAGTCATTCATCAGACTTAATGACAAATGACACATTTTTGGCTACCAAGACTATGATTTCACTGTTCTTTTACTTCAAAAGTCTTAGAGCCATGGATTGCTGGAGTAATAAAAGGCCTTCAAGTTCACAGGGCACAGTCCCTCATTTTACATGCAGTTAAGTTTATAAAGACTAAGACTCAGAAAACTTAAAGAACACCATACACCCACTCAGTGACAGCCTCACAATGAGCACCTGGGTCTCCACCTCCTAATTCAGGGCTCTGTCTGCCAAACCTGGATGCCCCATTCTCTTATGTGGACATAGTCATGTCATAGCATGGCAAGATAAATAGATCTGAACAGACATTCTGTACAAATATTTTATCATATGTCTTATCTGAGCTAAAATGGCCAATAAAGTGTGGCAGGCAATTGGGTTTCTAACAGGGAAGAGAGAATCATGTCGCCTTGCTGCTCAGGCAGAAAAAATTATGACAGGTTCTCCCATTCTACTTCCAATATGTAAAACTCTAAGGGGGGCTAGCCAGAGCACGCCAAGGTCGAATGCATGGCCTCGTGGTTTGATGACTGTTGTGGTCTGTAGGTTGCGGCCACTGGGGGGCATTTATCACACTGACTTGTTTACAAGAGTATGGCTTTAAATTATATATATATAGGGCACTCTGGGTGACATAAATAGAAACCAAAGAGTAGGGCAGAAGGGCAGTGCCATAAAAAGGGCCCTCTTGTCTCCTCCATTCCCAGAGACGTGCATAGAAAATGTATGTTAGATACACAGATAGATAAAGATAAGATAGAAAGATAGATAATAAATAATGAATCCTGGATCCAACATCCAGTTTCTCTTTCTCATTCTCTTCCTCTTCCACCTATTTGTCTCCTTCCTCTCTCCTTTGTGTTATTCTTTGTTGCATGCTTACTTTTCTTTCCTTTTTTTTTGGGGGGGGGGTACTTCTTAGCTGGTTGTCACTGAGTCCTAACTCATCTGAGTGAAGGGAAAATAAGATATTGACAGATTTGTACCCAATGTCACACCATGAGAAACTCCAGATATAGCAAAATAATAGCTCCGGCTCATTAAAAAAATCTGGGAATGTTAGAGTTGGAAGATGTTTACACACAAACACACATAACTCTTCTAAATAGCCAAGGGCATGCTCATTACAATAAGTGCCCAAAAAACTCTGACAGATGTTAACCGTAACCATCGAACATTTAAACTTTGGCAAGAGCCAATCTGCATCACCTCATGACTAATTTTTATTGGCAAATTCAGCAAACTCAGGAGAGACCAAATAAATGTTCTCAAAAATTGGTTCTCCATTTGCTGAATCCTCACAGGCTGGTGGCATTCTTATGGAGCCTGCTAGAAGTTGTTTGTGGCCCCAGACTGTCATAGCACAGTGGGAATAGACGCTCACAGTTAGTGGTCCACATCTCTATCTTTCTCTCATCAGATTTCTCTCCCAGTGATTTTGGTTTTTGCTTTCTCCACTTCTCTCCACTCTGCAGAACAATGAAGGAGGAGTGATTGCACAGGTCCCCAGTGACGTTACGTCCTTTAACCAGACGGGACTGAAGCCCGGGGAGGAGTACATTGTCAATGTGGTGGCTCTGAAAGAACAGGCCCGGAGCCCCCCAACCTCGGCCAGCGTCTCCACCGGTGAGCGCCCCAGCCTTCTCCTTATGGCCACCCATTGGGTCACTCAGGGTCAGGGCAAAGAACCGCAGAGCTGCCCAAGAGGTGCAGAGACAAAGGAGGTGCTAGGACTTATCTCAGAGCTGAGAAGGTTTCGGTAGTTGGAGATGGAGCTTCTCTACCAGATGGTAGCTGGTCTCTTCCTTCTTGCTCATCCTTGCAAGCACAGACATCTGGGAGAGAGTCCTGTGGATAAAATCCTTTGTTAAGATTCACAGTATGTTTCTTCTGATCTTACTCACTAAGAAGCCTCATTTGCCAGGCCCTAGTGTCATGAGCTTTGGAACCAGGAAAAGCTGACTCCCTCTTGCCTATTGTGATAGTTGGATAAAATCATCTAAACCTTCCCAAACCTCAATTCATTTTACAAAGATGAGCAACAATACCTCCTTAAGTTAATATGCAGAGTAAATTACATAAAGCCCACAAGGTGATTAGCACCATGTGGATGAGAGTAAGTGCTCAACACCCGCCCCTGACGCACACATGCATACCTGGGAACATGCTTAGAAGTGAAAGCAGTAGGAACCCAGTCAGTCAAAACCAGTAGGGATAGGCTGGGTCACTGTTCAAGGTGATGGCTAAAGTTTATTATTGTTTCATCCCCATAGTTCATCTCATTCAAAATCATTGTATTTTCACATTGATTCATTAATTGTGCTGTATTTTGCCTTCTTATTTCCTTAGCTAACAGAGAATGCTCAACTTCAATGTTGTAAATTAGCAGTTGGGATGCATATGTGTGTGCCCTCACCAAGAATGTCTCAAAATTTGCAAACAGCATTTGGTATAATTTTTGGTTCTCATTTTATTGATGGGCGAGCTAAAACTCAGAGATTAAGCATCTTTCCCTGTTAGTAATAGAAATCGAGATAGGTGAACGTAAGTACAGCTTTATTTTTTTATTAACAGAAATTGACATCCCAGAAAGCCAGTCTTAAGTCCAGGACAAAAGGCCAAGTTGGCAGAAAAGGGAAGCACAACCCTATGTAATGAGACCACGTTTACAGATTAGTGATTAATACTTTGCTACTTGAATCCAAACTAAAAAGCATCAGGTGCTGAAGCTCATACCCAATCCAGAAAACATGCGTTCAAAACTATCATGGCATTCACTTATGTTCCATTAGTGACCAGGGTTCCATGGCAGTGCCTCGAGGCAAGGATCAGGGGAGAGCCAGGCCTCTAATAACTCCCTCTTCCGCGCCCCCAACCAGGGCAACTCCGCTTGGATCTGTTTTATATTTTGTACAGGCATTTAAAATTTTGTTCTTAAATAAAAAGAGCTTTACCCCCCTCCCCCCACAAAAAGGCCTTAAAACTGCTGTTCTAATCCAAATAGTATGTTTTAGAAGAAACCCCATAGCCACAAAACCTAAAGTGCTGTGTAGGAATCTCTCTAGAAGGCCAGTGGCTGGAGTTTTTCCATCGCTCTGTTCCCAAGGGTTTGCTGGAACCTGGAGAGCTGGCGTATGACATGCAGGAGGGAAAAGGTGTGATACCTTTCCTCACCCATCACAAGGGGCACGGCCAGCACTCCCGTAACAAAAGACATGTTAACAGGAGAAAGCATAACAGAGTTTCACGTGACATTGGAGCCTGTAGAAATGAAGACCCCTGCTTAGGTCTGGTGAGGAAAAGACAGTGGTGTGGAAATGTGTCTGCACAAAGGCTGTGGTCTAACGGCGATGACTAAGTGGGGAAGCCAGCCAGGTGGTCTATTCTGATTCCTCTTGACCTCCCTGCGTAGGATTCCTTCTCCGCCTCCCCAGTGGAGCAGAACCCCTCTGGAATGATGAGCTTCAAGGGAGACGGGAGAGGAGAGAGAGTGACCTTTCTAGGTTTTATGGCTTGCTTTGTGGGAGAGGAGATCTACTTTCTATGGCCCACTTTAGGGAAGAGCAATTCTGATTTCTGTGAATGGCTTCGAGAGGAGTGAGAGGGGCAGGGGACAGGAGGACAGGAGAGGTCAGAGAGACCTTGCTTCAAAGGCTGCTGCTGAGGCCCTGTCAGTCCCCTTTAGTTCCAAGTACTCTGCATGCGAGGCGCCACACTTTGGGGTACCCTATTCTGAGCCCCGCAGCAGCACGTACAGATTCTCCTCTTCTGATATGGAAACTCTCAGGGTGTCCAAGTCATTCCTGAGATTTGATATTAAGAAAGCATTAGTAGGAGACAAAAGGCTGCAAGGAGAAGACAGCGCATAAGAGGACAGAGAACTTTACAGCTGAAGATGTTTTTCTCCTAAAGCATTGAGAGTACTTAGAGAAGGCAGTCCAACCAAGGTTGGCCAGACCACAGTTTTACAAAATTTGCAGTATGTTTTGGTTTGGAATTTCCTTAAGATCAAAATTTAAAGTTCCAGATCTAGAAATCTGTGATAAATCTAGGAAGAGGTTTTTTTTCAATTAAGAAAAAAAAAATCCTTCATATTTTGGCATCATATATAGAGTCATGAGGAAATGGAAAAACATTTATTCCAGTTTACTTTTTGAGCAGGACTTGTGTTTGTTTAGAAACGGGGACCTAAGTTGAAAGGAAGCTGATGCCTCGGTGATTGGAATGGAGCGTTGCTACCAAGTGGCCAGCCAGAGGGCAGAGTCCAAGGCGGCCACGGAAACGACGGAGATGGCCGGCTCCCAGTCCTGTCCGCTGTTTTTAGGAAACGATTGTTTAATTATTTCCTTCTGCTAAGGTCTGACCTACACCAGCCCCTGCTGCGAAGCTCTGTGTCCTCCTCAGGCACTCAGACTGGCTTCTTCCAGGCAGGCCATTCTGTGGATGCAAATTACAAGCCCTCCTGCAGCCAGAGCCCTGTGCTGCGTGATCACACTCTGATGCGCCCGGTCCTTACCATTAGGGTTCTGTGCATTTAAAGAGTTGAAGGACAATAGCCTCATGCGGTCATTTGAGTTTCCCTGACACCTTTTTTTCCCCCAAAAAAGCTCCAATTCATTGAAATGTTTCCCCTTCTTTCTCAAGAATGAAGAGGACTGACTGTCCAGTCCATCAACTGAGTGTCTACTATATTTCAGGTGTTATGCTCATACAACTATAAGGTCATTTGCTCCATTTCATAATTAAATTAAATCACATGTAGAAGGCCCATGTTATCTAAAACCACCAAGTACAGTATGCTGAAAAGAAACCGACCAGATGGGCTCTGTTAAATCACATTACTATCGCAGGTATGAAAACCAGGACTTCATTTCAACTACAAACCAGGTGGTGCCAAAATGATCCAGTGATCTTCATTTTAGCTGATGCTAGAACAAAAATCCTAAACGGCTTAGTAGAGAACAGGACTCGGCTTAACCCCTGAGGGAAGACGGGTGCCCAGAAAAAAGGCCCGACTTTGAAAAATGGAGAGGCACAAGGTCAGCCTGCGACAGTCCTGGAGGAGACGAGCAGGAGGTGGGCCCCTGTGGACAGGTGAAAAAAGCAAGTCAGGCCTGTCTGGTAACAAGGAAGAGAAACTTGCTAGGACTAGCTGAAGCAAAAGAGAATTTACCGGAAGGGCATAGAGTGTCTCAGGGGAGCCCCAGGTCCAGAAATGCATCTGGGCCTCGCAAAAGACCTGAGTCAGAAAACGGGGTGTCAGGAATCCAGTCACCCTCTGTATCCTTCCAGAAGCTCCACCTGGTCACTCATTTTTGTCTCCCTCCGTCTCTTCCTCTCCCTTCTCCAGATCAAGTGTTTTTGATTTCTGTGTCAACGTGGCGAAGATGGCCACACAAGCCCTGGCTCTGCTCAGTCCAGCACAGCTCATTAGAGAACCGGGCTTTCTGGTTTCAACTGCAAACCCTCAGAGAATATTAATATTAATATTAACCAGCTCCAGCCAGAGGTGCAGTCACATAGTAAATGGGAACACAGAAGCGAGGCCTGCTCTGTTAGCAAGGAATAGGCCCTTCTCAAAGAAGGGCATGCTGGCCACGCAGACATCCGCGGGGAGCTGAGAACGCCACCTTCTGTTCTCCTCACTAAGCCCTCTGGTTTCTGCTCCCTCCTACACCCCCCGCCCCGTCTTCGCGGTGTGAACAGGACCCAGGTGGGTGCTGGAGCACGGGCGGTGGGCCCTGCAGGAAGCCAGCCAGCGCTAGGTGTCCCCTCACGGCCCAGCGCCAGGGACGGGCTTGTGCGGGCCACGTGCTGGGATCCCGAAGGCCGAGGTGACTGCAGTGCCCTCCGGCTCAGGAACATGTGAGAACAGGTGGGGGAAAGCGACCCAAATGAAGCTGTCCCAAAGCCAGGGTCCTTCCTACGCCGCAGGGCGAGTTTCCCAAGCGGCGTGTTTCAAGTCCGCAAACGCGAGTGTCTTCAGGGTTTTGACGGTTTCGGCAGCAGCGTGGACTGCGCCCCGCGGAGACCTCCTCGGCAGCCCCGCTGGAAGTCTCGGGTGGGTGGTCGTCCCGTCATGTCCAGAGAGACAAGCGCTGACTCCCCCGAGTTAGGAAGCGCCCCCCCCCCCCCCCCGCACGGGTGGGGACGGCCGCACCTGAAGCGACAGCCTGGTCAGAGAATCAGAGCAAGATTCAGGGAACCGAGTTCCGGGGTCAGTGCCCCGTTGCCAAACCACGAGTCCTCAGGAGAGAGATTTCACCTTCCTGTGTCTCACTTTCCGCGTCTGTAAAATGGGCCGATGGTACTCTCCCTCTCCCTGGCTGGCGGACGGCGTGAGAAGGGAAGGACAGGGCTGCCGCTGAAGGCTGTCTTCTCAACCAAGCTTCTCGTTCTGTCTGATCCTCCCCATGCAGTCATCGACGGGCCCACGCAGATCCTGGTTCGAGACGTCTCCGACACCGTGGCTTTTGTGGAATGGACGCCACCTCGAGCCAAAGTCGACTTCATTCTGCTGAAATACGGCTTGGTGGGCGGGGAAGGCGGGAAGACCACCTTCCGGCTGCAGCCCCCCCTGAGCCAGTACTCGGTGCAGGCCCTGCGGCCCGGCTCCCGCTACAAGGTGTCCGTCAGCGCCGTCCGGGGGACCAACGAGAGCGGTGCCACCACCACCCAATTCACAACAGGTAAAGCTGTGACAGGCGGGGGGGGGCGGGGGGAGGCGCCAGCCAAAGGTGTCTCGAGGGGCGTGCTGAGGGGTGGGAGGAGATGTGCTTGGGCAACCACAGGCCCTGCAACAACGCCGCGAGTCAGCACAGTGGCGCGAGCCTTAATCCTAGCACTTTGGAAGGCGGAGGCAGGAGGATCGCTCGAGCAGAGGAGTTTGAGACCAGCCTGGGGGATAGCAAGCACCCCTCCACCCTACCCCAAGCCTCCTCTCTACAAAACATAGAAGAAATAGCCAGGTGTGGTGGCCGCCGGGCGCCTGCAGTCCCCGCTACTCAGGAGGCTGAGGCAGGAGCTGGAGTTGGAGGTTGCAGTGAGCTATGATGACACTATGTCACTGCACGCCAGGCTGGGCAACAGAGAGAACCACGTCTCAAGAGCAAGAAGAAGAAGGAGGGAGTGTTTCAGGGCCTCCTGAGGATGTTGACATCAGACTATAGAGGAAAAGCGCTTGCAAAAAGGAGAACTGTGTTCTATCCCACCTCTGCTACCAGCCAAGCTGAGACTTCATGCCAGTCCTGCCCCACTATGGGCCTCAAGTTTCCTGTTTACAAAATGGCAAGTTTGTCTTGAACACATCCATATTGCTAGCCCAAATGACAATTTTGTTAGAGTTCAGGAAATGTGCCTCTTCCTCAAGACATTTTATTGCTGTTTACTGGAAATCATTGTAATAATTCTGTAAATCAATAATGACCTCACCACCAAGAGGTGGTAAAGTCCAGCCTGTACAGCCATAGGCAGACCGCCCAGCTGAGATCCTGTGACTGCCATGCCACTGGTAGGCACTAGCAATAAGGCTGGTATGAGGTCCGATTCCCATAGACGAGGGCTGAATAGAGCCCACAGAGTGTCTCCCGCCTTGCTGTGATGACCGCCCATCCCCCTGCCCAGGCTGTTGGGACTCTTAAAGAGCCTCACTAATGGTCAGGAAAGGCCAGACCTCAGGATGACTTGCTCCCTCTCTCTGTGCCCATCAGTCCGACAGCTAGTAGGCAAGTAGGATGGGCACCATCCAAAGGAGGCGTCGGAAAGTCTCCTCACTGGGTCAACAGGGCCTAGGAACAGGTTAGTGATTAAGTCTCTTTCTAACCCAGATTCTCTGTCTCAGCCTCTCTGCCTTGGGAAGGTCACATGTCAAGGAATCTCTCTGCCAACTCCAACTTGTCCCAGGGATCAAAGAAAACGGATAATACTGTAAGATCTAAGATCTAATATCTTCTGATGGGGTAAAGTAGAAGGAGAATCACTAATTCAAGCATCCTACTTTGGGTTGTGGCCTAAGAGCCCGTCCAGGGGTGAGCCCAGGGCATTCAAGGAGGCTCAGAGCTATTGGAGAAATAGCACCTCTCTGCGCCACCTCTGTCTAAAAATCAATTGATTAACACAGCGAATAAGACAGATGGACACCAAAATGTCCCCTATACTGGAGCTCGCAGCTTAGTGTGACAGCGGATGGGCTTGCAAGCTGGGTGGCCACTGTGGAGTTGGCAAGCGTCTCTCCATGTGGCAGAGGTCAGGGCTACTCGGGTTAGGACTCACAGCGTGAGGAACAGGTGAGTCCTGAACCCCCGGGCAGCCCGCCCCGCGAGAGAGGGGGCCGAAAGGCCGTGCCCGGCCCTGCTGCGGAACTCGGTGTTTAGCTGAGTCCGTCCTCCCCAGCGCACAGGGAGGCCGGCGTCTGTGACAAGGCTCCCTACACCCAGAGAGACACCAGAGGGAAAGCTCCCTCTTCAAAGGAAGCCAGCGCAGACTCGGGCAGAGCAGAGAAGGAAGCGCGGGATTCTGAAAGGCTCCTTTAGGTTTTGTCTCCAGCCCCTGCGCCGGGTGCCGCCTTCCCTCCCAGGGGCCGCCACAGGGCTTTTCACTGCAGGTATCTTGGCGTCCCGGGACTGCGTGTGCTCCTTGAGCAAAGGAACTAAATTCTGCCCATTTCTCTTCCCTCCATCTCCCTCACTGAACCAAAATGTTCGGGGCCGAGCATGAGGAAGGACATCCCACAGTGTCCCTTCGTGGTTAGTTCAAGGTCAGCCTTTCCTCCCCTCCCCACTCCACCACTCGCTCAGAGCGGTGGTGTCTCCCACGAACCATGAGTCCTGCATTCTTTCCTTAATTTCGAGATAGTTTTTGTTTGAGAAGTTGTTTCTTTGTGCTTTGCTCTGATAAGGGGTTTGAAGAGGCAAAGCAGGAGAAGAGAGCTCTCGAGCAGCGTGATGAAAGACAAACTCTCCATGTTCAGTCGACAAGATGGAAGCAGGATTGGCTGGTGGCCCAGGAAAATTCCAATCAAGACAATTACATCCTGCCTCCCAGGAGCTCCCCGAGTCTCAGTTCATTGCGGCGTGATTTTCTGTTTCCGGTTGCCTGGTGGATTGGCAGCTGTCGGGTGGCTGCCTTCAGGACGGGCCCGGCCTGCACCCCCGCCTGCGCCCCTCTGCTGCAGGCAGGGCGGGGAAAGGAGTGGGGAGACACAGACAGCTCTGCAGACAGATTCTCAAGGCCTGGGCTGGCAGGTGCCAGTCGGATGATGCGGGAGGGCCCCCAGTCATTTCAGAACTCTGCTTAAATTCCAATTAGCCAAAGTGCTTTTCCAGGTGATGGCTTTGCCACTAGGAGTGCACTAATTGCACAGGCAATTAAAACAGAGATTTGCTCTCTGCGTGGTGAGTAGGATATTTCCCTGGGTCTTAGAGCTGTGCTGAAAAAGGAAAGAGCCCTGATCGAAGCACACAAAGGCCAGGAATTGGACAGAAGCCAACCCAAGGAGACCCAGAGGCCAATTCCCCAAACCCGTCCCTGCCCTCAGCCATTCTGACTTCAGCTGCTCTCTGGAGGAGCTGCTGGGACCGTTTCCACGCGAGGCCTCCTCTTTGAGTGCGTCCCTTCAAGGCACCACGCACAGCCACCAAAGCATGTGGTCGCCTACAGGCTGCTGCTTTGAGAGATGACGTAAATGCCCAGACCCCTCTTTATTGCTGATATACTTTGAATTGTGTCCTCTAAAAAGATGTTGAAGTCCTAATCCCCAGTACCTGTGAATACGACCTTATTTGGAAATAGGGTCTTTGCAGATAAGCCAATTAAGATGAGGTCATTAGAGTGCGCCCGAATCCAGCATGACCGTGTCCTTATGCAAAGGGGAAATTTGGACACAGGTGCAGACATGCACACAGGAGAGCACCACGTGAAGATGAAGACAGCGACTGGAGAGATTCTTCTACAAGCCAAGAAATGCCAAAGGTCACCAGCAAATCACTAGCAGCTGGGAGAGAGGCATTCGACAGATTGCCCTCCCAGCTCTCTGAAGGAAGCGGCCCTGCCAACACCTGGACACTTAGTCTTTGAGACAATATATTTCTAATTGTTGAGACACCCAGCAGCCCCAGGAAATTAATAGGGAACTCCCAAGGCACAACAGTTGAAGCCCCTACCTGCTCGTAGTGATTCCACTCTAGGATTCTCCAGGAAATTCTTTCGCAATTTCAACCTGATGGCACTTGAACCTCAGCCAAGAATCCGGCTGCAAACCACAAAGGGGGCTTCCTGCCTTTGCAAGACCAGCACCTCCAGTCAGGGCTGCTCTCTTCCCTGCACCTGCCCACCCAAGCATCCTCAAAGCCCCACCACTAAAATAGTTAACAAAACTTTTCTAAAGGCTTTGACGTAGCAAACAAGACAGAGAACTGACAATATTCATTCAGTCACTTAACATGTATTTATTGGACATTTACCAGGTCTCAAGCACTGTTTGTTCTAGGCACCGAGGCTACAGAATACACAAAATAGATACGATCCTGGTTCACAAGAATTACATTCCAGGGGAAGAACTGGACAACAAAGAGGAAAACAAGCACCCAAATCATTTCAACCATGAGTACTGTGATGAGAAGTGAATGGGTGATGTAGAGGGATGGCCACAGTGGACTGAGTAGTTTGGAAAGGTCTCTATCCAAGGTGACATTTGAACTAAGACCTAAATGACCTAAGCCTGAGGATCTGTAGAAGAACATTCCAGGCAAAGGTGGCAGCCAGAGCAAAGGCCCTGACGTGGGGACAAGCTTGGCGTGTTCCGAGCTGGAGCACAGTGAATGAGGGTAGACGGGTTCCCAGGTGATATCTGAGAAGCAGGCCAGGACAGGTCACGCAGAGCCCTGCAGACCACGATTAGGCGTTTGTAATAGGAAGTAACTGAAATGTTGGCAGGGGAATCGCTTGGCCTAGTTTATGTTTTGGAGGCTGGACACAGCTGTCACCAGAGTCACAGCGCCGCCCCTCCACAGGGCTCCACTGGACATCTGTCTGTGCCTCCCCTGAGACCTGCTGAGGTTGCGAGGACCAGCTCCGCTTCCACCGACAGGGGCGCCCTTCAGCTGCCCCTCCTAGAGGCCAGGCTTCAAGGCCTGGGGGAGCAAACAGCCCACTGCCAAGCCCCCACTCTCAGGAGTGGCCTCTTTCAGGATCATTGGCATTGGGATCGGGGTCTGGACCCTTCCGAGAAAACATCGCTCTTCCCCACAGGGCACAGGCCTGTGACCAGCACCCCAAACACCCCCAAACGCCAAACACAGAACCACAGCCTAACATTTCCAAGGGTAGGTTTTTAGGTGTGCAGGGCACTCGGTACAGGTCGCAAGCTCAGCCCTAACCCTGAACTCACTTTGTTCCAGCACAGGGCGGGCGGCACACCCCAAGCCCGGGCCAGCCCCTTTGCCCGTCTCTCCTCACGTGCATCCCCCATGTGCCTGTCCACCCAAGCTCTTCCATCCCACCGCGAGGGAAGGACGCCCGGCACACCAAGATGCAAGTATCTGGCGTGCTGAAGCACACTGAGTAGGGAAACGTTTCTCAGAAAAACAAGCTACAGAGCCACAAATCTGCTAAGAGATTCACCCAACTCACATCACTAAACAGAACACTTCTCACTCCAAAGCTTCTGCTCAGATTGAGTTCAGTCTTCCACCAGAACAATTGGTGGAAACCTGCCTTGCATTTGCAAATGAAAACAATCCACTGGAGGTTTTCTCAGAACAAATGGCTGGTTCACTCCAAAGTTCAAGCCTCAAAGACAAGAACTCTTTGGAACTTTTTAAGTGGCAGATTTTTAGGGCTGCATTTTATCACACTGCAAGTTGTTTACCTTGTTTCTACCCAATGAGCCCGAGGGGGCGGCCAGCCCCGCTAGAGAGAAGCGCTTCCCCAGGCCTGCAGGAGAGAACCCAAGGCCGGGCCTTCCTTGCAGCCCGGAGCAGGGGCAGCTGCATGTTGGGGGCACTCGGGGCAAGCTCGGGGGCGACGGGGAACCAGCCCGGGCTTGGCACTTATTTTTATGCCCGGCGCAGGGCCACATGCGTCACAGTCACTGTCTAATGCACACAGCAAGACAAAATGCCAGCATTTTTGTCCCTTTCACAGAGGTGGTCAGCAGGGCCAAGGGAAGCTAAAAGACATGTTCATGGTCCCCCTACCAAAAGTGTCAGAGCAGGGGTCGGCTGAGGCCAGACGCCAAAGACTGTGCTCTTCCCACTGCCTCACAGCCTCTGCCTGTGTCCCCACCACACAGCGGCGTCTGCCAGTGAGCCCGGGGAGGGTGCCCGTGTCCCCACCGCACAGCGGCGTCTGCCAGTGAGCCCGGGGAGGGTGCCCGTGTCCCCACCGCACAGCGGTGTCTGCGAGTGAGCCCGGGGAGGGTGCCTGAAGCTTCGAAATCGGGAAATCGACTGTCTTATTTGCTTAGTGGTCAGATGTTATAGTGCCCTATTCCATCTTAGTCATTCAGGACTTGTCTCTGATTTTATCCTCCTGGGGTTTCACTTGCTTTGTTCTTAAGTTTCTGACGTTAATTGGTTCATTTTAAAGTTTCTAGGACACCACTGGAACTCCTGAATGGAAATGGGGAAGTGCATAGTGTGTTGGTATTTACCTCCCAAGCAAGACTCCGGAACGCCCAGGGAATTTCCTGTGCCAGGCTGGAAGGCGAAGGGCGACGCAGGGCGCGCCGCGCGAGCAGAGGTTCCGGGTGTGGGCTCTCACCGCTGAGCTTTTTAAAGTGCAAGATGCACCACAAACATGCACGATCGTGTGTGATGTTGGTGATGTCTGTCTGTTTTTAGAGATTGATGCCCCCAAGAACTTGAGAGTTGGTTCCCGCACGGCCACCAGCCTTGACCTTGAGTGGGACAACAGCGAGGCCGAGGTTCAGGAGTACAAAGTTGTGTACAGCACCCTGGCGGGAGAGCAATACCACGAGGTGCTGGTCCCCAAGGGCTTTGGCCCAACCACCAGGGCCACCCTCACAGGTGAGTACAACTACCTCTGGGTGCGTGGAGGTTGCTGAGTCTACACCCTCACAGCTCTCTCCCCAACCTTCCCCCTTACATCCAACCCACCACCACCTCCCATGGCTTTCATCTCTTAAGTCCCCATCAGATATTTCTACTACTGTCCATCACCTGGTCTAAGCCGCCATCCTCTCTGATCTTGACCACTGCAGTGGCTGAGAAGCCCCACATTCTCTCCTGCCCCTTGCAATCCTGTCGTCACCCCATCGGTGACCCTGTCAGAGTCCGTGTCTGGCTGTGCCGTTGCACGGTGCAGACATTCCAGGGCTTCCCGCCGCTGTTAGGTGCGCCCAGACCCTGGCTGGGGCCCAGCGGGCGCTGCCTGGTCCACCGCCTTCTCGGGCCCCACCTCCCACCACGTGCCAGGGCTGTCTGCTCGCGGCCCCCAGCTCCGCTTCCTTCCGCTCCTCTGACGCTCGTGCCCTCCCGCCACGGGCTGGCGCCTGGCGGGCTCTCCCCTGGTCAGCGCAGGCCCCCAGGGCCGGCCGGGTCACTTCCCAGGGAGCCGTCTGGTGCCGGGTGAGGCGGGTCGTCCCACCCAGTCACTGCCCGCCCTCAGCGCCTCTCACGGCCGGTTCACACTGTGGCCTCCGCCCTACACCCAACGGGCGTGGGAGTGGGGTCACACTTGGGTTTGCTCATCGCCGAATCTCAGGGTCCAGCCGGTGCCCAGCACGTTCTGGGGCCTAGGTCAGCGTTCCGTGACTGACTGAATGAACGAAACTGCGAAGGTTCACTGTGACTGGAGCATAGGCTATAGGAGGCCGGCGACAAGGTGAGAGCCTGGCCGTACCTTATCTGCCCTCAAAAGAGTCTGGGTTTCTTCTTGAGGGCAATGGGGAGCCACTAAGAGATTTTAAATAAGGCGACGTTATGACTAGCTGGGTACAGAGGAGGGCAAGGGCAGAGCCAGGGAACTGGCCCGGAGGCTGCTGCTGGGGTCAGAGCGAGAGATGGCGGTATGGACTGAGCAGGGCCCTAGGCCACCACGACGCCCGCTGGGGACTGTTCCCTGTCCCCTGGGTGGGTGTGGGACCTCGTTGGTGTCCCTCCTGGGGCCTTTGGCTCACCCATCCAAGAAAACCTGCCTGCCCAGCCCACCGACGGGCGTGACTGGAAACACAGGGCACGGCTTTCAGACGAGGGAGAGGCCGTGCCAAGCAGTCGTGGGCCATGGCTGCCAACGTGCGCACAGACAGACTTTGTTTAACTTGTGTCTTGGATTCCTGCGAAAGCATTTGCGTCTTAGTAGACCAGGGATACACAGCAAAGAGTACGTACATAAACAAGGGCAGTTTAATCAAAGCTGTTTTCCTCCTGAGCTGAAATCCCAGGCTGCCTTGCCAAATAAGGCTAGTTAAAATAAATATAATAAATGCCTTTTCCAGACAGACGCACTCCGGAAAGCACAGCGAGGAGCTGGGAAGATTTGCTGACCAAGCAGGTTAACGGGAGAATTAGACACAGGAAGGACAGACCAGCTGGCGTAGGGCCTTGCAGAGAGCTAGAAACAGTCACAAAAATTAAACTAAACAACAAAAAAACTGAAATGATACAGGAGGGAGCTGATTCTGAGCACAGCCCATCCCTGCCTAGAGCCGCAGGCTAATTTGGTAATTAGCAGTTATAGAAAAGCGAGGGCTAGTTGTTCAAAGGCGGAGACACCATGAAATCGCCAGCGAAGCTAGAGAACCCAGTCACGTCCTGGCCATTGTCTCCCACGACCAGGACAAAAGAAGATTCCACATTCATCAGTCCTTTGCTGCCATCCCATTTTATGGATGAGGAAACAGAAGCTCAGGGAGTTTGGAAACTCGCTCGAGTTCACAGAGTTGTCAGGGGGGACAGCAGTGATTCAAAGTCACTCCTACGTCCCAGTCAGAAGGTTCCCTCCCATGGCTGCTTCTACTAACAAAGTGAAATATAAGGGACAGTCCAAATGTAAATGCCACAGACCTATAAGGGGGGGATTATAATTGAGTAGTGCGCTTGAATAAGTTGATTTTTTTGTGTTAGAGTTGGGCTTATAAAGTTATATAATTATATTATACATTATATATAATTATCCCAGGGAGCTCACATAATTATGTATATTACATCATATATATATAATTATAAATTAATATATTAATTTATATTAAATTATGAATTAATATATTAATGTTTATACCACACAGAATTATCCCAGGGTGCTCGCTGCTGGGAGCAGCTTTATGTTATTTAAGAAGGGGTTATAGGTGTACGAGGAAATCAAGTCTGCTTGTACTTGCTGAGATGCTAGTTGCAAGGATTGTTGGCTTCTTGCTGAGGAATCTGGGGGAAGAGAAGGAAGGGCCAGGAACAAGAGAAGAGACAAAAGGGAGGAGTTTGAGTCTAACTCTAGAAAGCTGTACTCTTTCCCTCAATCCCCAACTTGGAGCCTAAAGAGGAAAGTTTTTCAGCCTCGAAGGCCTGTGTTCACCCCCTGGAGTCTCAGTTTGATTTCAATGCTCCGCTCTCTGCAAAATGTTGAGAGAGCAGACTTTGAACTCCATACCAAGGCTCGACACTTCCTGTGTGATCTGGGGCAGTTGACCTAACCTTTGCAAGCCTATGTTTCTTCATCTGTAAAAGGGGAATGATAGCCCTTAGCTCACAGTGCCATCAGGAAGCTTTGATGAGGCAATATAGTTGATGAGTTTAAGGTAGCACTTCTAACATAGTAAGCTGCTCGGCAAGCAGATGGTGATGGCGAAGAAGAAAGCGGACGAGGAGGTCTGTGAGCTGCGGGAGGGCTCAGGAGGGCCCCTTCAACCCGTGGCCCAGGGTGCAGAGCGGTTTGCACAGCCCAGCGGCACAGACCTCGCCCGGGAGCTGTCACGCCCTCTCCCCCCAGAGCCACTGCATCAGAGCCTGCGTTTAGAAGTCCCCCGGTAACACGCGCACATTAACGTGCGAGACGTGCTCGTTTAGAGCGTGACTTTGGAAGTCACCCCACCCAGGCTGGAGACCAGCTTCATGGACAGGTGTCCTTGGGCGAATTTCTTAAATTCCCCAGGGTTCAGTTTCCCCATCTGAAGGACGCCCTATCTCCCTCATAGAGTTGCGAGGATTAAATGAGATGGTAGACACCTCTCCATTTCAGCACTGATGGCGGGGCCTGGCACATGGCGAGCACTCAATATCCATTTGATTGTTTATTGTTCTTAATCCCCACGAAGTCAGGCCTGGAGCCGGGGCAGCCTGGCCTTTCCCTGCACAAGGTCGGGTCCCTTTGTTCTCCAGCTGACCCTCCACCCGTACAGCTCCGTGGCACCTGCATTTGCCACTCACTGCAGAAGTCCTTGTCCCCAAGGTCACCATTTACCTCCTCGCGGTGGACTCCAGGCCCTTCCTGACTCTCGTGTCTCTGGATCAGTCCCAGGGCTCCCAGCAGCAGCCTCCCGCCCTCCCCCTTCGCTGCACAGAGCCCAGGCCTGCGCACAAAATACCAAGCACTTTCCCCATGTTCTCCATAGGAATGCCAGAGAATTCCCTCTGGAGAACTGACTGTTTCTGAACAGCACACTCGATGTCTGTGGTGGTTTTTCTCTATTTGGTGGCTTCTGTGCCTCCATAGGTCTTTTCTTGGGCTCGGCGTCTCCGCCCAGATGATGTCTCCTTGGCCTGCGCGGCTCCTGCAGTCCCGGAGGGCTCCCTGAGTGTCACGCACCTCGCAGGCTCGTCGGGGCCCTCCAGGCTAGACCCTGGCACTGACAGGGACTGGCGTCTCCACTCTGCTTCTTGGACAGCAACAAACAAACAAAGCATCACACAGAAAACTCCTACTGGAGGGAGGGAGGGAAAGACAGGCTCAGCCCTGATTGAGATTTCGTCCAAAAACCAGCTTCCGTGCCGAGGACTGCTGCCAGTGTAAACACTGCTCTGGCCTTTGTATGTGAGATGGCCGCTCTAAGCTGTCCTGGGACAGGCATGTGGCTGAGCCATCTCAGCAGCAGGGCGGAGGGCTTGCCCTCAGACACGCTCACTCTCGCGGGGTCTGTCAGGATGAGCATGATGTCATGATGAAATGTAGATGCCTACACTGGGGACCCCCATGGCCCGGAAACTAGGCAAAAGGAGCTGACCCGAATGGCCCCGTGAGCACTGCGCCCCCGCCCAGCCGCCCAGGCCCCTCCCCTCCCCGGGCGCCCACCTGGGTGCCTCACGACATGCACCCCAACAAGCCACCTCTCCCACACACAGGGACTGCCTCAGTCTCCCCAACAAGCTGTTGGTCAGAAAAATCGCCAACAGCATCCAGGAAGCCCAGAAGCTTGACAATCCTGCAGACGTGCTATGACAGCGGGCTGCAAGAAAACAAAGACGTACAGACAGCCACACGCGACACGCGCTCAGGCAGTGCTCACTCATGTGCGTGTACACACACACTCAAACACACATATACACACTCTCACACGTACATGCACTCAGGCACTGGCACATACTCACATGCCCATACACGCCTACACACATACACTCCTGCACACACTCACATACACTCACACACATGGCCCTACACACCACACATGCGCACGCAGTCGGGTGCACACACAGTCGGGTGCACACACACACACGCACTCCACACTCCATACTCAGGCTTTGGCAGTTGCTACCTTCAAGTCCTGGGTGCTGGGAGACACGGGACGGGCCACCTACCAAACCCACATGTCTCCCCAGGGTCCAGACGGCTCAGGGGGTGAGAGGGCGGGCCCTCGGGCTGCGCGGGCAGGCCATGTGCTCGCCACAGGAAGACTTTCCACGAAGAAATTCAGGACTCCCGAAGGAGTCCAGCTGGTAAAGCAGCACTGGCCCAGGCACTCGGTGTCCCCTTCACCCTGTCTGCACTCGCTGGACGCGCCAGTGCACCTGCGCCAGACCCAGCGCCCGACCTCGCCACCGGCTCCTCTGAGGGGGAGGGGTGCAGGCGCTGGGCCTGG